CCCATAAGTTCTGTCCAAATTTTAACTTTTCTTAAAATGAACGAAATTTAAAGAGTATTTTATAATGTCTAATGGAGCTGAACATTATTTTTATGTTGAGATGCATTTAAACTGATCAAATTTTATTTCTGTTGAGTTGTTGGGAGTGTTCCCCGCGTGTGTGTATTCGAATAAAGACAAACACAGTTGTAGGGATAAATACTGGTATATTTGTAAGAGGTAATTACCTTAACAACAGAGTGATTAGTAATAAGGAACGCCGGTTAGTAAGTAACAATAGCAAAAGTCTACAGTCCAACGGTATGTAATGGTAACCTGATCTCGACTGCTGTCGCTGAACCTGATCCTTCCCCCACCTCTCTCTAGCACTGACTTATATCGTAGAGGGATGTCCATTATCAGTCAGAAGGTGGGTGCGCCCCAACAATTTCAGAGAACAATAAAATTAAATTTTGTTTGATTAAAACCCTGCTAACATGGAAGTACCCAAGAATCATTTGAAGCACATAATGCTTTATGAGTTCAAGAAAGGAAACTCAGCAGCCGAAGCGGCTAGAAACATTCACTCAGTTTATGGAGAGGAATGTGTGAATGAAAGAACCTGCAGAAGATGGTTTGCAAAATTCAGAGGTGGAGATTTCACCCTTGAAGATGAAGATCGAACCGGACGTCCAGTTGAGTTTGATGAAAAGCTTCTTGAAGCAGCCCTTGAAGAAAATCCTGCGTTATCAGTTGAGGAATTTGCAGTGGTTCTCAGTTCAAACCATACAACTGTCCATCGTCATCTTCAACAACTTGGAAAAGTTCCTAAACTTGGAAAATGGGTGCCTCATGAATTGTCTAAAACAACCTCAAATCCCGAGTTGACATCTGCTCTTCTCCATTCTCGCCAACTTATTTCACCTTTTGGATTGACTTGTCACTGACGATGGAAAAGGAATCTTTTATCGAAATGTTAAGCGTCGTAGACAGTGGCTTGGTAAAGGGAAGGACCCCAGCCACAGCCGAGAAGGAACTTCATGGGCAAAAAGGTTCTTCTTTCAATCTGGTGGGATCGCCGAGGAATAATCCACTTTGAATTCTTATCACCTAATGCAACAATTAATTCTCAAATATACTGTCAGCAATTAGAGCTTTTGAACCAAGCTTTGAGGAAAAAAGACCTGCTCTAGTGAATCGAAAAGCGGTGATGCTTCATCAGGACAATGCGCGACCCCACACAGCAAGAATCACGCCACAAAAGATCGAAGAACTTGGTTGGGAGAAAATTCCTCATCCACCTTATTCTCCCGATCTTGCTCCTTCAGACAACCATTTATTTAGTAGCTTACAGAATCATTTGGAAGAAACAGCTTTTGTAACACAGAAAAAGGTTAAAACTGACATTTGTGAGTTCTTCGAATCAAAGCCAAAAGAATTTTACAGTAATGGAATTAGTAAGCTTGTTAATAGATGGAAGAAAGTCATAGATAATCAGGGAAAATACATTGTTGATTGAATCTGTAATTAAATGTAACATTTGGTCACTTGTTTTCTTTATTCAAAATTCGGACAGAACTCATGGGATGACCTGATTGTAAACAGAGCATTAACTTAAATGTTTGTGTTTATATAAATAACGGATAACAATAAAATATCTTAAACAATTATATAAAAAATGTTGTTCACGTTGTATTCGTCAAGTAATTTATACAGTTATATGCTCTTTATTTCAATATACCAAAATTTAAGCTATCGATAAAAGTGTCAATACTTCATTAAAACATCCAATTCCCCATGCTTTTCTGCGATATTAATTCAGATTAATTAAACTTTAAATCAGTTAATCTTCCTCCAATAAAGTTTCAGAAATGTATATTTTATTTTTGAATTTTTTTTTAAAAAGAGAATTGTTGTGTTGACAGATTTGTCAATATGGCCGATTTAGCGATTTTAGCAATTTAAAAAAAAATAATTCCAATCAATTGAAATTCGGTTTGAAATGCAGCAAAGTATTTTGCTTATTGGAAACTTTAATTTTAAATTTGTAATTTACCCCTAAATATGATCTTAGAAAAGGTCGAAAGTACTTGGGCTTAAAAAAAAACAAAAAAAGTACGGTGCCTTACTTGATGGATTTAAATTCGACATCAAGAAACTGATTAGACAACTGGAAAGGATCAGTATAAAAACATATAGACGCAATACTTATGATGTTGAATGGACAATAAAACATTGCAATATTAAAGTTAAAAAAAAATCAAGGAATTAATTAAATATTATATGTACGAAAATTTGTAAGTCCTTAAATGACCCATGTCCTCTGTGTCTATAGGAAAATTTGCATATTATTAAGTTTGCTAAAAAAAAATGATCTCCTAAATCAGTATAATATATTAACAGTAATTTGTAGGCATTGTATAATGCTTACCTTAAAATATAGTTAATAAAATTTTTCATAAAAATTATATGTATTACAATTATATATCTATTATTTTATTAATATATAATGGTACATATGATATTTATTTAACTCCTTGATTTTTTTTAACTTTAATATAGCCATACTTTATTGCCCATTAAACATAAGTATTGTATTTTAGGTTCAAAATAATATATATATATAAATGATTTAAACACACTAGAGGTCCCTTATAGTTCTCAAGTATATACAATTTTTTTTTAAATCTTGAAATTCTTTAAAATTAACCTTTTCTTAAATATATCTCTCTGACTACTTCAATGTATCTTAAATTGACATTCATAATCAGATGTCAGCTAATGGTGACACGTCTTAAAAATTTCAATCCATCTAGACATGAATGAATAACACACCTACTTCTAAACTCCAACCTATATTTCTCACTTTTCTGCTTTTGCCTTGACCCACTTTTGATTGGTTACCCTGGACATACCCACAAAATTTTGAAATCTTATTACCCCGCTCCTTTTTAACTCTTAAATAAGCTGCCGTATTGTTTTCTGTTTTCAAAAGTAAATCATTTTCATCATAAGTTACGTAACATCGCCTGATTATGAAAAAAATTTTAAGTTTTTTTTTTTTTTTTTTTTTAAGCGTTTCACCCCAAGCAAGGCGGAAAGCCACTAGGACGCAAGGGGTTACAGAAAATTTGGAGCAAGATCAGATAGGAGTGATAGAAGAAAGGATGAGGAGAAGAGTAGTGGATAGATCAACACAACTGGCGATACAGAGGCCAGTGAGAGAGAGAGAGAGAGAGAGTACGGACCCCCCCACAAAAATTTTTATGTAAAATATTTTAAATAAAGATATCATTATATATATATATATATATATATATATATATATATATATATATATATAGAGAGAGAGAGAGAGAGAGAGATACGACAATTGTAAAATAGTATTTAGTCCTTGCCGACACATTTCGCCATTCGACTTTATAAAGACAAATGATGATAAACAAAAGTGAAATGTTGTGTAAATTTGTTTATCATCACTTGCCTTGATAATTTTACGATTGACTATTTTATTCAAATTATATGTTTCAGCACACCCTTATATACTGGAAAGAAACAATGCAGTTATTAAGAAGAAGAGTGGAAATTAAAGCCTGCAAGGTTTCACAGCTCTAGCATCATCCCTATGAAATTTTCAGTCCACCCTCTTATCTGGAAAGAAACAATGTGGTTATCAGTAAGAAGAGTTGAAATTAATGCATGCAAGATTTCACAGCTCTAGCATTAATACTTTAAAGTTAAAATATTTTTTAAATAAAAAATATTACTATCAGATTTTTGGTTTGAATTATTAGCTAAAAAAAAACATACAATATAATAACTTGTTTAATCCATAGCCCAACCATCAGATTCATGGTTTGAATAATTAACTAAAAACATGCATACAATATAACACCCTTCATAATCCATAGCCCAAATAAATAGTTTAAATACCCTACAAAAAAGATAACCCTTTATGAAGTCGTCAAAAAACAAACGTTACGACAGTTTTTTATATGCACAAATCCCTTTCATAAAAAAAATAAAATAAAAAATAAATAAATCTCCATAGACATGTAAACTCGACGAGGGTTAATACATCTTCCGTTTAAAGTTTAGACACCCCTACCTTTCCCTGACTTGACATCTATGAAAGTAACTCTATACTGATACTTATTATTAACACCCAACACTCGCCTACCCAATTCGCCCTAGCTGTTACCATGGAAATTTTGATTTCAATTTTTAAAACACGTAAATTTCAGATATACGTTATTCCAAAAAAAAAAAAAATAATTCGCTTGAAGATGGAACAGAGCTCACTTTAACTCAATTTAATTTAAATAATTATATTGAAGTTTTCGGCTCTTGTTTTGAAACATGGGATTTCTTATGTCGCGATTTGGAATCATATTTTTAAATAAATAAAATATATATATATATATATATATATATATATATATATATATATATATGTGTGTGTGTGTGTGTGTGTGTGTGTGTGTGTGTGTGTGAATTGTTTTCAGATAGTGTGTGTCTGTGAAGGGACAAAAGAAATAAAAAGACAAGAGGAAGAATTATCCTTAGCCGACGCGTTTCGTCCTCTGAGGGGGACTTCATCAGGACATTTTCCCAAGCCTACACACCCAACCAGAAAAATCTTGAAAAATCAAAAGAAAACGTTTAAAAATCCATTACCTCGTGTCTTTGAAGAAGTCCCCGCCATACGTCGATCGCAAACCATAACAATCTGATTACAATTTCAACAATATTTATGTATTAAAAAAGAATATTTCCTGAATATTACTCGCTTAATTTTGTCTTACCAGACTTTCAATTATGGCAATTTTTGTCCTCCACATGTTTTTACTGACCTTTCAACCAGCTGATGATTTAAAAGTGTTGCATGTTCTAGAAATTTCGTAGAAAATATGCTTTCACTTAAATAAATTGTGTCTATTAAACAAAATATATATTAAATAACTGTCGGACTTCATCCATTTTATTATATATATATATATATATATATCACACCTGATCAT